GGGAATTCTGGGAGTTGAAGTCCACAAGTCTTAAAGCTGTCAAGTTGGAACACCCCTGGGGATTTTTTCTAAAGGGTTAGGGGTGCAAGGGTCTTGTAACTTGACAGCTTTAAGACTTGCATGCTTCAAATGCCAGAGTTTCTGAGCCAACATTCTGATTGCTAAGCAAGAGCGTTGTTAAGTGAGTTTCACCACATTTTACAAGTTGGCCATGCCCACCCAGTCACATGACTTCCAAGCCACTCCCACTCAGTCACATGGCCGGCAAGCCACTCCCATAAAGCAGGCCACACCTACAGAAGAGGTTCTAAAAAATTTTGAAACCCACCACTGCACTGACTAATTTTTGTTTTTAATCAGCAATTCCTACTCCAAAGAACAAATAATAATTGGTTTTGTAGAGTTTGTGTTCCCGGTATTCTGTCTTTGATTTGCCTTTCACATTTTCTTCTAACATTCTCTGAGGTGCTATTGCTCATTCTATTGAGCAACAGTATGAGTGCCTCAATCTCAAACACTGCAGATAAGTCTAAGAAGAATTTCCAAAATGGTGAAATGAGGTTTGAAGAGGAAGTAATTTGCCTCTTTAAGTTTTAGCTTGTTATCTCAACTATTCTTCATTTTTCTCTACTCTGGTGTTTCCCCTTCAGTTCTGCATTTTGCTACTTGGCAGGTTTGACAACCATTCCAAATATTTTCCCCCAAAAAATATTGAGAAACGTTTGTGTCTGCACACGTAAACATTTATCAGCTTATCTTCATTCTGATTTTTAAAATTATTACTGTTTTCACAGTTCTCCATTCCGCAAAGCTAGAGCCTTGTATGCTTGTAAAGCAGAACATCACTCAGAGCTGTCCTTCACTGCAGGGACCGTATTTGATAATGGTGAGTATCAGAGTAGAGATGTTACCTTCAGAGGAATGAAAAACATGGAAAAGTGATTTTAAGTGATCCCAAAGGTGCTTTTTCAAGAGGCAACTGGACTTTCTGGTTTTTGAAGATGTTTTTCTTCTCATCCAAGAAGCTTCTTCAACTCTGACTGGATGGTAAGGAATGAAAGGATTTATACTCCTTGCAGACAACTCGCTAAAAGAATGCACTAGCAAGGAGTATAAATCCTTCCATTCCTAACATCCAGTCAGAGCTGGAGAAGCTTCTTTTGGATGAGAAGCAAAACATCTTCAAAGAAAAACCAGAAAGTCCAGTTGCCTCTTGAAAAAGCACCTTTGAGACAACCATGATCTATCTGGATGACTGAGAATCTTCATAGACATTTAATTTTAAGGGATGGGAGATGTGTAACATGCGTCACATCACGTAATGTAACCCAAGATTTGATCCTATCAGAACTGGTGATAAAGAAAATTTCTTGCTTTCTGAGAAATACCACGAGCACTGACACTGCTATTTTTAGTCTGAACTTTTGTTACCAAAAGCCAGTTAGGTTTCTTTTGTAAGGATAAATGCTGAGTTGAACTCACTAGAGAGAAAGCTTCTAGGGATGAAGGGAGGCATTCAGTATGGCCTCCCATAATATGCAGCATCTCATTTCTAGCTCTGAACATTTGGAAACTCCAGCCAAATGCATATTTTTAGAGGAGCTTTTCCAACACCAGAGATCATAATGCAATTTACATTTAATAATGTTCACGGAATTATACATTTGTGAAGGCCATAAAATCCGACCCTCTGTTGAATGCTGGATCCGTAATGTAGGATAAAATGACAGCAGCCAAAACAATTAGCCTTAGTTCAAACCCTGCCAATGAAATAGAGCTCGCCACCTATTGAATCAAATGGTCTCACAGTCAACAGCCTCAGCCATGAGGGAATGCTTTAAAAGAAATGGTGGGTAACCTATGGGATGCACAAGCCCCCTTTTTTAGTGTAGCCTCGAGTGTTATAATACGGCTGGGATTTTCTGCACAGTTTCCCATCCTAGATATACTTTTGTGGAAAGAAGGTGTACATGGGGCTGCATTGCTCATATTGTGATAGAGATAGGCACCCACAGATGAAGCATGGGATGAAGCATATATCTCTTGCTTGCAATGCAAGCATTTTTAGTCAGGAAAATGAAATGAACCCCGTGAGAAGTTAGAAGCAGCAGCTGGTAGAGGTCAGAGCTTTAGCCTGCAATTCATGAAGACAGAGCTGAATTTGCAGTAATGTAAGATTCCTGGTTTTGTCTTTGGTCTGACCTCTTCCTTTAGTTCAGTTCCCCAATCAGCCATAAATGCACAATTCCCAGAGGGACACACTAAAACCAAGGAAAAGGAGATGGATTGAGAGCATGTGGCTCTCCAACTTCATTGGTTTTTGGAAGCCTATCCACATTTCTGAAATATACTTGATACAGATATACATACACAGCACACATACAAACACACAGAGAGGGGGAGAGAATGGCTTATGTTATGTATTTCTATTTATAATTCCTTGAGTGGTCACATGATTTTCCTCTTGTTAATACTTTAAAATGGTTTTATAAGATACAAATACTGTTTCTTTGTTTCACTCTTAACATAGTTCAACGTTTAAATCTCAGAAAGAAATGCTCCTTTGTTTTGCTTGGTTAGCTATAAGAAGTACTTGGCTACCTTTAAAAAGAATGGAAAATAACCTAGGTTCAATATTGAAACAAAATGTTTAATATTTACACTACTAAGTTCAGTAGGGGTTTTTTGGGGTGTGTGTGATTTTTCCTCAATTTCTTTCCTTTTGTATGTATGTACAGTACATCAGATAGAATGAAATATGAACAAAGTACAGATTAGGATAGAAAATAGGAAAAGGATGCAGATTGGAAGTAATCATCTCATAATCAAGGATTTATTGAAATGAAATCATATTTTCCATTTGCTAACTTCATATTGTGTGTGTGTGTGTGTGTGTGTGTGTGTGTGTATGTATATGTGTGTGTGTATGTATATGTGTGTGTGTATGTATATATACACA